ATATACATTATCTATGTAGTCTTAATTTTGGCCCCCATACCGCGCCATATATTTAGAGCTGAGAGGCGCAGAGCTTGCGCTCCCGACAGATGCGTCCTGAGCACGGCCACAGTAACATTTTCAAAGTGTCGCCACCTCAAAAACCAATTTAACACACAATCGTTTATGTCGGCTCATATCCTTTCATGCTTTCTGTCTTTTTTTTTGTTCCTGATGTGTTTTGCTGCTGCAGAGCGGAGCGCATCACCTGTTTTGTCCTCCGGTGTATTCACCTCACCGGTGCAGCCAGCGCGCAGAGCGCACTCCGCTATATTTGCGGTCGGTAGATCTTTTTGAACTGCAGTTCAAAGGTAACTCATAAGGTGAATATTTATGAGGCCAGTTTTTCTTTAAGATTGAGAGGAGATGCAGGAAAATAATAAACAGACAGGACAGAAAAAATAGTCAAATAAAAACAAGTTCGTTTTTGTACCTGGTGGTTGCAACAAACAAACTCCATTGAAAATAATCAGAAGTGAGGAACAGAAAATGAAATTATTCTGTCAATGTTTAGAGCAGCAGGAACTCTGAGAGGCTGCAGGCGCATCAGAGAGTTTGTGCCGCTAAGCAGGGGAACAATAAAGATGCAAAAACTACCATTGTTGAAAGAAATGTGTGTTAACTTAGAAAATGTGGGCGCAATTTTTAATTGTCAAAAACTCCAGCAAATCAACCCCCCGAACTCCTGTATCTATGCGAGGTGTGGTTTCTGAGGTGTGTTGGCAAAACCCATCTACTTGTAACATTCTGATCTGTCAGCAAGTCCAAACATGGCAATTACTAAAACAGAACGCACATCCTAGCGATTCAGTTGAGCCTAACTCTGGACGAAAACTCTTCTCCCATCGCATCAAGCTATCAAAACCTGTTGCATGCTACAGCTGATACCACAAATGGTTCCTTCAGAATAAAGCTGACACAGCTCCAATTCCTGAAGAGTCCTTCCATAGACCCAAATAACTACCTGTTGTGACCTGGAGACATCTCGAGACCGGTCTAGTGGCACTGCGGTTTCTTCTACGGACTTTGGTACCTTTGGGGTCCACGGACTTCCACACATTCCGGATTTACCACGAGGGTCTTCGAAAGGGTACGTAGACTCGACAGGTTGCGTCTGATGTGGTTTTATAAATCATCACTTATAGTTTATAGCAGACCAAATTCACTCCCACTCAGAACTCCGTTTCTCCAGATACAAGGGTTCTGATAACATCACATCCACACATCATCACACCTCACATTCCATCCACTTAAGATTCATCCATCAATGTTCCTAGTTGTCATGTTTTTAATTGTTTAGAAAATAAATTTCTTACTTTTTATAAATGACTCTCTCTGAATTAATACAAAGTGTCTTACGATCCCTGAATAAACAAAGAACTCTAATTCTTCTGGTTAAACATTCAAAGACCAATCAGACTGGATTTCCATATTTATATTGAAATTCACATCTTATTGGTCAAGTGTAGTGTAGTATATTGAGCCTAAAAAGCACCCAAAATACATGCGTATGCAAACTGTACAGAGTGTTATGAGGCAAGACAAAATGCTTAAAGCTAGCTTGTTTTCCAACTTTGCTATTGCAGCTTCAAATGAACTAGTGGTGTTAAAGCAAGTGAAAACCGCCTAATAAAACCTAAAGCCTGGCTTCATTTCCGAATCCAGCAGCAAATGATTCAAATTTGCTGGTAAAAATGTGCAAGGAGTATTTCCAAAACCTTAACGCGCATGTCATCCGACTCAGGAATTCTCCAGAAAACAGCCATGCCACATATCTCACTGATCTCTCTCCCCAAAGCTGACCATAACTGGAGGGGTCCTGCAGCAGTCCACCTAAGTTATTTATAACTTATAGAAAGTGTGTGTGTTGAGTCAGCTGTGATTTACACAAGTCACTCAGCCTTCTCCCTTCCAGGTTTGTTTAGTTTATGCACCAGGACACCCTGTTTGAGCTTCTCTGTGGGTGGTGCCAAACTTATACTAGCACAGCTTAGGTAATTAGTAAAAACCAGGAGAAAAAAGATACGCCACGGTTTTATGTGACAACAGGTGTTGGTTAGTAAGTAAGTGTGTGTGTGAGACAGGTGGGATTTTAAAAAATCCTGACCCACAAATCCAAATGTGACACCTGTATTTTTGGAATGAGATTACAGAAGCTGATAGTCTCCGTGGTTACACATCTCTAATCCCGGGACTATATTGTAGCCTGTGCTTGTAAATCTGAATTTCTTGTTGGCAGGATGAGAACTGGTAGATGAATTCTGAATAAAAAAAATGTGGATCAGCTGTGGTGGCCATCTGGAATGGTTTAGTAGATGTTCATTTAATGAAGATTATGAGTTTTATTAAAATCAGCCAGTGGTTCATGAGGTTTTCTGCTAACAGACACACGAATAGAGGCAAAAACATTATCTCCTTTCTTTTGGCAGCAGGTGATCGTTTGCTTTAATGAGACTTATCTGCACCAACATCAGAGAAAAGCTGACAGCTGTCAGTCATCCGTGTTTAGATGAGACTGTTACTGGGTCGAGGAACCAAGTTAAAACATTATTTATGTGTGCATCTGTTTCTCAGTGCCAGGAGGGAAATCTGAGGGGGTGGGGGTAGGGTGTCCCAGAAACTGGCAACCGCCCCTCTTCCTCCCCCATGTTTGCCATCCACATGGCTAGTGACAAAGCAGAGATGCCAAAAGGAAAGGATGGCAGGATGCCAGCTTGTCTTCCCGCTGGCACAGGGATCATCCTCATGTTCAGCCTGCTGCAGCCTCCATTCAAACGCTATCAGCTGAAAACAGATCTTGGATTAATATAGCTTTAGAGTGTGAGCGTGCATATTATTGCTCTAGTCTACACACAACAACTTCTCCTTGTGTCAGCGTGAAACACTCAGAGCTGAGCTGTATCCAGCCATGTCTCTGATCACGTCTAGACGACGGGACTTTCTAGTTCTCCAAACTTCCCCTCCCCCTGAGGCTGAGCTGATTAACAGTAATAAGAATCAACAATGCATGATAATGTGAATTATAACGGACCAAAGGCAGTGGCCTTTGGCCTTGTGCTCTATTTGAGGACAGGGGCTCAGTCGTGATGTGCATGTGCCCTGCAGACTGGGGGCTAATGTAAACGGAAAGGACACGGGCCACCTCTGGGGGGTTCTGCATGTCCTCAACATGAGAAAATTACTTCATATTCAAATGCAGATATGTTTGTTGACTGCCAGCGTGCATAAAATAGGACTATCAGGTCATGTTTTAACTGCGGTTCTCAGTTTTGGCAAGGGGTGTCCATTATTATCCGTCTACCATTAATTGGCATTACATTTAATTACTGAAAATATCTGTATTGGTTTTTACTCTTTAAATGACACCGCCTTTACACACCACACACGTGCACTGCCTGAGCAAAAAAGGTCACCACCTGGATTTAACTAAGCAAACAGGTAGGAGCCTCTTTTGTATGATTACTGCCTGGGTAATCGTCTTTCAGCTACAACGTTTTATTCAACCCAACTGGTGCAATCAGCTGCTTCTCATTTCTTAAACTACCAGGTGGAAAGACACGTCTGGTGGTCGTGGAAAAGATGTTAGTCAGTTTGAGAAGGGTCAGATCATTGGCATGCATCATGAACAGGAAACGTCTAAGGAGATGCAGAAACGACTAAAACTGGGTTAAGAGCTGTCCAACGAATTATTAAAACTGGTCTGATGAGTCCAGATGGAGCCTGTTCCAGAGCGTTAGGTGCTTCAGGGTAAGAAGAGGGGCAGATGAAGGGAAGCACCCATCATGCCTAGTGTCTACAAGCCTGTGGGGGCAGTGTTATGATCTGGGCTTGCTGCAGGTGGTCAGATCTAGGTTCAGCAACAGGATGTGCTCCAAGAATGAGGTCAGCTGACTACCTGAACATACTGAATGACCAGGTTATTCCATCTTCCCTGATGACACGGGCATATTCCAAGATGACGATGCCCGGATTCATCAAGCTCAAACAGTGAAAGAGTGGTTCAGGGAGCACGAGACATCATTTTACACATGGATTGGTCACCAGACCTTAACCCCATTGAGGATGTGCTGGAGAAGGCTTTGTGCAGCGGTCAGACTCTACCATCATCAATGCAAGATCTTGGTGAAAAGTTAATGCAACACTGGATGGAAGTGAATCTGGTGACACTGCAGAAGCGTATGGAAACAATGCTACAGCAAATGTGTGTCGTAACTGAAGCTAAAGGCAATTCAAAGAAATATTAATGTGACTTTTTTTGGCCAGTGTGGTATTTAATATTGTGCCTCAGTGCATTTCCTATAAAAAATTTGCATTAAAATGTATTACTCTTGGTTTCAGTGTTCATCTCTCACTGGTGTTTGGCTCATACGTCCTTCTACATTTATTATCACTATTAATTAATGTTATAATGAAGTTTTACAATGATCCAATGAGGCAAAGGTGCAGTCAAGAGCTCTAACTCCCTCTAGTGGAAGATTCCAGGTATGTCATTAAAATGGTATGATTTCCAACATTATGCACAGATTCGTTTTATTTAAAATACTTAACATTTTAAAAAGCCTGTCTACTATCTTATTTTGCATAACCATAATTAAATAAGATCATATATTCATTATATTTATAAACTTATAGCCATATTTTTTAGCCAGTCATTAAAAGCCTTCTAGAATTAAGAGTATTAACAACAGAAAAGCAGGATTTTAAGTTTTACACTCATAAATCTATCAGTCTTATACTTAATGATGTGGTGGAACAGCTTGTACTCATGATAAACATGTTTATTTTATAGGCCTTAGAAGTACTAGATGGACTGGCTCTGTCCAGGGTGAACCCCGCCTGGTTGCCCAGTGACAGCTGGAGATAGGCACCAGCCCCCCGCGACCCTACATGGACAAGCAGGTTCAGAATATAAATATATATATATATATATATAAAATAAATTAAAACACTACATTTAAATCTTAAGTAAAAGTTTTTTATTAAAACAGTTACAAGTTGTACAATATTACCGATGTGTTCCACACTGACATATTTCACAGAAATAAGCCTTAAAAAACACAAAACTTAATATTTATGAAGCTACGTTTGCAAAAACAAAAAGTGACATTAAACCCACCATTATCAACAATGTCCTGTTTTACTACCAAAGGTAAACACGCTGAAGAATATTCCTGAACCTTTTGTGTTTTTTGTCTCTTCATTTTGTCAAATGAAAAAATAATAAACTGAACAAAGGAGGATGAAAAAAAATCAGTATCTGTATTTTGTAGAGTAATCCTTGGGAGACACCACCAAACCTCTTCCTTTCCTTGCTCCTCGATACACAGTTTCAACAATATCTATCATCTCCTGTTTGTCCTCGATTATCCAGTTGATCTTGTTATTGTTACCGGTGCCCAAATCAATCATGATGTGTTTGTTCCTGGAAGAGAAAGACAAAAATATCACCTTAAAATATGTTTACTCAGCTGCCCTGTCTATTGCAACATGTGGAACTGGAAGAGCTACCTGAAAAAGAACATGACAGTGCAGGGGTCGTACAACTCGTACATCTTATTGAAATCAGGCACTTCTGTGATGTCCACGAGGTAAATGACAGCAAAGTTCTTCACCTGTAAATAAACAAACCAAGAATGAATTAAATATGGCATTTGGAGCACACCAGCAGGTAATGTGACGCGACTCCTGAATCTGAGCCAACCGGACTTTATATAATAAAGACAGGAAACAAATCAAACCTTTTCAGCGATGCTGTAAAGAACCTCGTCCATCTTCATACATGTTGGGTCCCAGTCGTGTCCGAAGCGGATGACGAGGACTCGGTCCTCCTCAGACAGGATGGCTTGGTCGACCTGCCATCCATTGTGGAGATGCGGTAACATGTACGACATCTTGACTCAAAAATGAGCTAATTCTAACCTGAAATGGATCAAATAAAGAGTTCAAATCGATCACAGCTGAACATTAAATTAAACAAACATCTCTGAGTACCAGAGAACGGTTTGACCGGCAACAGCTAGCTAGCTAGTTAGCGTTAACCATGGATACAATCTGAAAGACACAATTATGAAACTTCCCACTAAATATTCTGAAACACTTACCCCAAAATATAAAATAGAGTATTTAAGTGGCGGGAAGAAAACGGACTAACTATAGATAAAGCAGCTATGTTCAATGTGACTTCTTTTAAACCCCACGGAAAACAAACGCTTCACGACGTCATCAAATCAGCGACGCAGGAGACGCGTTAAATTTACGTCATAGTCGCTCAATTCGAAAAACTCTTTTAAAAAGTCCCAATTTATTTATTTATTATTTTTTAATGTGAAAGCCGCACACAAAAAATAAAAATTTTAAATAATTAATTATTTGAAATAATTACTTTTCACTCCAGCAAGTACTTTTAAAATAAATATATTTACGTTATGTTTTCCAGCAATATCTTTTTGGATGATCATCTTTTTGGATGATCAACTAGAGAAATACTTCTAGTATTAAATGTATTTCGTATTCATGCATGGAGAACAAACAGATTTTCAAACAGCTCAATAACAAACAGAAATTATGTTTACAGTCTAGATAACATAATTAGAAATTTGCAACAGGAATAAATTTTTTAGGAAATCTCGGAGCACTCTTTATTTGTAAAGCTTGTTTGCCACACTTCAATTAAAACGTGCACGTGTTGTTTGTGTACTTTACAAAAAAACCTGTTAATATTTGATGCTGTGAAGTATTTCTGATTCTTAACAAGTTCACAAATTTAGAACAATGTGTATATTTGGCACACTTGCTGTAAAATGGATACAGCTTGAAAAATGATTAGTTTGGAGTTTTACTCTGCGTTCAAACTCAAATTCTTCCACAAAAAGAGATTCCAAAGAAAAATTTGTAAAAACCCAACCCTAACTCATCATGCAATGTCAAATACTACGTGTCGTACTTGATTTTTTGCAGGCTTCCTAACACACTTTGTAAATAATAAAATGTAAACCCTTTTCAAGCACTTTAAGATGGAGTTTTTAAATATTTTCCAGCACGTTACACCGGTGTTGCACAGAGACCGTTTATACTTGTTCACAACAATCACGTCACTTTGCTGTCTCATTAAAGGAAACGTCTGCACCATAAAGTCAGTTTCAGTTGTTTTCAAGGACTTATTTAAATGCTGAAGCACTTTTAAAACTTGAAAATACCATTACGAATAAACAAATAAATCATCAATCTTTCAGTCTTACTTAGATTTAGAGACGTTATTTTATTTAAAGTGTGGGTGTACAATTCTAATAGTGGAAAAACACGAAGAAAAAACACTTATTGTGCAATTTACTGCAGTACAATCAAAGAAGAAAAAGATAGTATAAAGGTTAAAGAAAAAACGTTCCAGTCTGACGACATAGCAGCACATTGTGGCACTCCCTAGAGAGAGAGAGTCTAAATGATCATTAGATATGTCTAAAAGTTATATTTTTTTCATTTCATGACTAATTAACCGCATCACTGTGGTAATGAATGACCCAGTGAATGATGAGTTCACCTTTCTCCTGTTAGAAGATTTGGTTTAAGACATGATTGATTAACAAACAGTCATGGTAGCTGACGTGGGATAAAGTTCTAATCTATTCTCCGACTACCATCACCACAGCAATCATCCCTTAAAGCTGACAAAAGGCTTGGTTTATTCGGTTCCATTTGGCTGGTTTTCATATTGCACAACATCCTCACTCTGACCAAATTCGGTCACTTAGCCTAAATTTCCACACACCATACTGGATCTGCAGGCTCCGAGCTGTAAAACCACACCCAGTTCCCCAAGACTGGATCAGGCTCCGGTGTCACACGCTCGCTTCAACACACGACGCATGGAGAGTTCACAAATAGAAGAGACCCCATGTCTCCATCAGTGGTTCTATCAACGTCACATCATATGAAGAAGGTCCATCAGTGTGTTGTTAGGCCACGATAAAAAAAAAAAGGTCATTATAATGTCTTGAGTCCCTGAGGAGAGCTGGATCAGACAGCTTTGGGATTATGGTGATGAACAGGAGCTGCTAGTCTGCAGGATGCTCTGGACATGACCGGTTCACCACAAACCATTCATCAATGCACCTGAAACCAAAAGAAAGATTATTTCCAACGGGACACACTTTACCCAGTCTCCATGTAGAATTAACGGTGCATGAAGTAAGAATGACCTCCTGTGGTCAGATTTGGGTACTGCAGTCCACGTATCAAAACAAACAAGTCTGCTCTGAGAAACTGTTGACAGTTAGGGACCAGCACCATAAGATTCTAGACGACGAGTGAAGACGAGTCATACACAGTGAGTTGATAAGTAGATGAACACATTTCAATAATAATGATAATAATGATAATAATAATAATAATAATAATAATAATAATAATAATAATAATGATAATAATAGTAGATTGGAATTATACAGCGCTTTTTCAAGCCACCCAAAGCGTTTTCCATTATTCACGCACTCTTACATTCACACACTGCTAGTGATGGTAAGCTACTATGTAGCCACAGCTGCTCTGGAGCAGTCTGACAGATCTGCTGCCATTTCTGACCACCAACACTGGCAAGTCAGATGAAATGTCTTGCCCAAGGACACAACAGCAGAGTACCCCTGGCGGGAGCTGGAATCCAACCCTCAACCCTTTGATCATGAGGCAACCTGCTCTACATCCTGAGCTACTTTTGCCCATTCGCTGTAATATTGAGTTGTTGGTAAAATTAACTTGATATATTTTTAGAGCCGACTGTGTTTCTAATTCATCATTAGCATTGTTAGCTCAGTGTTAGCATATAGCCTTCTTTACCCAATATTAGAGCCAACTAAAAAGATACTGTGGCTTTTTACAAGAAAGAACTCCTGGGTCACTCCTGTTAACTGGCTAACATTTTTTCCCATGACACTGCTGCCTTTTGCAATCCGGTATCAAATTACAAATGCTGGAGAAGACTGCCCCACTGAGTTGAATATGATTGGTTCTGGAATCAAGGTGTATGGAGGCGGGGCCAATTGTAAACAAAGACTACGTCCCTCTTTTGACTTTTTAAAAAGAGAAAAATGACAAAAATATTTGGATTCTTATTTCCTGATATTTGGACATCTCGCCTCGGAGTGGCTAACAGCAACGTGACTCTGTTACTGACTCAATTTGCAACATTGATGTTTCATCTCCGCAAATAACACAAGCCTGGAGGAGTTCTGCAGTGTGGCGGAGGTGCTAAGGCTATCCGTTAGCTTCTACTAGCTGAGATGTCTGCTGTTTCATTGATGCTAAACTAACAACAGCTCTCCTCGTCGTGAGCCAATATCTGTGAGTCCACGAATGTTAAGTGACAGAGGGATGTAGAACTGTCAGGATGTTCAAATCCTAAAGTTTCACCGTCTGTCCTTGCATGAAAAACTCTGAATGAATTTTGTAAACTCCGTCCGTCCATCCATCCATCCATCCATCCATCCATCCGTTTTCATCCGCTTATCTGCGGCCGGATTATTTTGTAAACTAATAAGTAAAAATGGCTGAATCATCTATTATGTTACAAGATGGAAACAAACGACTTCAACTAGATTTGTTGTATTTTAGGACATGAACTTTTGGGGAGTTTCTTTTCAGTTTAAAGTGACAATATGTAGTTTTTACCATTAATCTCTGGAAATGCCCATTGAACTGTTGTTGTAAATGAATTAAAAGATGTCCAGTTGTTGAAAAATGTTGGAGGTTTCATGACATATAACCATAAAAATAGGTTCTAAAATACACGGGAGCGGGTCTAAGTCACTGGGCGTCGCCATATTGGATGCCATCTTTCCTTCTACGGAAGCCCGTGAGGACAGAATGCACTTACTGATTTGTAACAAATGGTTACAAAACTTTCAGCATTAATAAACATTGTTCTTTTACACATTTCCCTCTTCACTCACTGCAAGTGATAAAAAGGAATCTGATATTTTTCTTATTTTAATGGAAGTTGCACTCCCAGGATTTTTGACCCTAATCTGTTTGTAAGGTCTTACTTGAACACAAAAACAATGCTTGCTTGCAATTACTCGGGTATCTACTGCCCCCATCACCAGGGAAAATACACACTGTCACTTTAATTTTATGTCTGGGGCTCGTCTCAAGGCCCCCGATCCTCAGCTTTGCAAACACCGGTCTAAATGTTCTGTTACATGTTTAAAAAATATTTAGACGTAAAAAAGGTGCAACAAAAAAAAAGTGTAAGAAAAAACAACTTTTGATATTTTTGTAGTGTAAGCGGACATCTACTTCTACCTAGAGCAGCATTTGGTTTTGCTAGTGACTAACCAGCATTAACGTATTAGTCCAAGTTGTGTGTGTGTGTGTGTGTGTGTGTGTGTGTGTGTGTGTGTGTGTGTGTGTGTGTGTGTGTGTGTGTGTGTGTGTGTGTGTGTGTGTGTGTGTGTGTGTGTGTGTGTGTGTGTGTGTGTGTGTGTGTGTGTGTGTGTGTGTGTGTGTGTGTCTCACCCTTTGTGGTAGATACAGAGACAAGGCAGTCTGGCAATGGTGTCCCCCTGCTCCAGCTCCTCTAGACAGATGGCACATTCCCCAGAGTCTCTGGACAGGATGTCCTCTGTAGAAGACATTGTGGACAGACAAAATAAGCTGCACTGAGTGTCCTCTCAATCCTGCAAAACCCATCTGGGATACCAGCAGACCTGAAATCATTTGAGCTCAAAATCCAGTCTTTTAACGGGTTGTGTGAGGAATTATATTATTTTATAACCTGTGTGTAAATCTGTTTGTTAGAACTTTAGTAAATATCTAAATTATCATGCTACTGTTTTCCACGTGAATCTAATGTTTTTGTTGTAAAACAGCTTTAGCTCCAGAACTCCTCCGTGTAACATGATTCCAGTTTAAGTCTCTTGACTGATACAAAAACAAGACGTTGGGTTTTTATTTTGAAAGAGATGAAGCAGCGACAGGATCAGCAAAAAGGATGAAGTAAATTAGGACCCGTTCCTTTGTATTTTTATTGTTTCTTAACAAAAAAAACTGTTTTTATGAATACTTTACTTGGAAACACCTCTGCATGTGGGTGATGATAGTCCTGATCCAGCAGAGGAGCCACATTTGCATATTTATCAGCAACATGCACACACCTGTGAGTGTGTGTGTGTGTTTTACAGGTGCTCAAACTTCACAGGCGTGCATATAAGCGGCTGCTTAGATGCGCAGCTGCATCACGCGTTTCGACTGGGGTTTGATCTCTTTTCCTGTTTCTCTCCTCGACAGTCTAGAGGTGCATGTTTGCGGTTTTGAAAATTGCTCAACACACATTTTACTAATTTTGCTCCTGAGATCTTTCATTTGCAGGTCAGGAAAGATTGCAGTCGAACCCAAACCACGAGTGTGATGCAATTTAAGGCTGCAGAATGAACATCTACTTAAATAAGGTAGAAATGGTTCAAAACTGCAGGTAAAAAGTAGTTCAAGTAGTATTTTATTTCAAATTTTGTAACGTTTTTATTAGTTCTTCATGGGTACGTCATCAAATGAGTCAAATATGTGAGATCACCAAAGAAGAATCAGTAATAAAATGTTTTATTTAAATGTTAAATGCCTCAGACTTTCAGTAATGGTTTGTAAACAGAATCTGTCGTGCATGTCCAGGTGATGATTTCATGTGCACAATTATACAATTCGTGTTTTTCTGCAAACTCTAAACAGCCGTTTTCAAAGTCTGTTACAGTAAGTACTGTATACGATTGGTCAACCACACAGGAAAGATGCTTTTTATCAGCGGCTGTTTGTTGGGATTCACATGCATCATGTCACCTTGTTGCTGCTTGACTTATCTGCAAACATTAACATGCTGAAATGAGCTCCTCTGTCCAAAAACTGGTACACAAACACACGTTTTCAAAGGAAGTCCTGAACGAGAATGTTTGCAGGTGAGCAGGATTGACCTTAAAAGGTCACGTCACACTTCCTGTGCTCACCAGACATGTGGTTGTGGACTAATGACACACTGTCACGTATAGGTTCTCCTCTGCACCAACAGCCTTTGCAGGCTGCACAAAATCCCTCTAAGGGCCACAAACGACCCACGGGACTGCACGTTGGACAGCCCTGTTTAACAGTGGAAGTGACCAGTAGAGGGAGCAGTGGGGCGAATGCCAACAAATCTCCATTATGCTTGATTTAAGGGCCTTTAATAACTTCAGCCAGACTGCAGCTGCTGTTTTATCCACCACCATGTTAAAATCAGTCAATTGTGCAAGTCTGGAGGTTGCCTCGTGGTCCCCCTGCTGGTAGAACATCCATGTTACCCTGCAGGTCTGAGAGCACAGTAGGGCTGCTCGATTATGGCAAAAATAATAATCTAATCTAATCTAATTTAATCTAATCTATTATAATCTAATATAATATAGTATAGTATAATAAAAACTAGGGCTGCTCGATTATGGCAAAATAATCACGATTATGGTGACTGAAATTGAGATCTCGATTATTTTAGAAGATTTTTCAATTAATGTTGATTTTATTTGTTTTTATTCTGTCATAAAACTGCTCAGGGCACAATCAGGACAAAAATAAATAAGAAACAAGATGATCACTAAAATAACTCCTGATTCCCAGTATAAAAAGACCAATATACTTATAGCTCAGAGTCTATGACCCAAGGGCTGTAGACCTTGGTTTAACTCATTTAAGTCTAACCAGTACAGACCCAAATACCAATATCTTGCAAATACTGACAGCAAGAATTATACAGTGGCATTTATAACAAATACATGCAAATAAATTGATGTTCACAAAATGCTGCATAACATTTATTTAGTCGTGTCAAGGTGCTGTAGGAGAGTGCACTAGCACCGTGTCCTCAGAGAGATTAGTGATTATTTATCAGTGTGAGGAACTTATTTCTACCTTATTTATAAACTATTTATTTACAGGTCCATCAGTTAATGTAATAATTGTCCCAACCACAGCTGCACCCCCCACCCCCCAACCCGGTCTCACAGCAATCAGGGGCAAGCTGCACGTGTGTTTAGCACGCAGCACGCGCACATTTGGCCGTTTTTATCGGCTCAGGAACCTGCAGGTACGGTGTGTGTCACTCACTCTGGTTACTCCAACAGGAAGCCGGCTCTGGGAGCCGTTTCTGTAGCGACTGACACATCACTACATCATTCCCTTTCCTAATGTCCTGAAGAACGGTCGGAAGCGCAGGCGGAGTGTTTAGCTAACCTGCAGGAAATGTCGACGACAGTTATCCAGAAAGTAGCTAAACCAGAGATGTTTCTCAGGTGTTCGCCAGGTACTTTTAGGATTTAAAAAGTCAAGAAGGGGGTCTGAAAAGCTGCTGAAATAGCGTCAAAGTCGATAAGTTGGCAACACTGTGGGAGTAGGGTTGTCACGGTGTGAAAATTTAACCTCACAGTTATTGTGACTAAAATTACCACGGTTTTCGGTATTATTGCGGTATTTTTTTAAACGTGCTACATTTTCACACAATTAAATAAACCCTGTATGTCAGGAAATATTGTCCTCAGTTTGTGTCTAACTTTTGCCTAAAATGTGTTATTTTGTAATTATGTTGTTTATTTGTTTACATTTTTTCCCCTTTAGTCTTTAAAATACCAATATTTGCCCATAACTTCTTATTTTATGTCTGTTTGATGTCATCATTTTAAAAATATTAGATCACATGATACTCAGTACTCAAGTAGCCTTCTAATCAGGTACTTTTTTACCCTTACTTGAGTAATAAACCCTATTTCAGGAAAATATTGTCCTCGGTTTGTGTCCTTCCAGTGAGCTTTGCAGATGTGGGAAAATGTCATCAGGCAGTAATCATTGTTAAATTCATAATTATTCTCGGAGAGAGACCAACTCTTATCTGCCCCTGGGAGCCCCGTAATGCATAGCGTCATTTCAACATGGGGGTGTCCGCGACACGGTTTATATGCAGGTGGCGGCGCTGCGGCTGCTTTATATAGCGACTCGTTGCATTCTCCCTCAACCCAAATCCTCGGATCACGCATTTGAGCTAAAACGCTAACGTTAACTTGCCTTGCGTTGACTGTAGAGTTGTGGGTGATGGTCACGCAGATGTGTCATGAGATTTGAAGCGTTGCTGCCTTTCACAGACACTTTTTCTGCACGTGCTGCAAACAGGATAGCCGTCTTCTATCAACTGTCCCTCAGCATTCTTCAAATATCTAAAAGATGCCCATACTTCCCACTTTGTCTTCTTTGAGGGATAAAAAAATGGCCTCCTGAGTGCTGCCGTCTCCTCCTTTGGCCATTATTTCAGCTTTAGCTTCAAGAAAGTTTTGGTTGTAAACAACAAAGTGCGCATGTGCCGCCGGCAACTTCAGCAGATGATACGGTGGCTGGTAAGGGTCACCACGCCTACACCGCAGCAATGGTAAACCCACCGAGATAATATAGTTTTTTTTTAAAACAAGACGGTTATTATTATTGTCAACTTTTTTTTACCGGGGTTTACCGCTACACCGGTTACCGTGACAATCCTAAGTGGGAGGAGCAAATAATCGGCTTGTTTTGTTTTCATAATCGTTCAAAACTCAGATCGTAATTGGGATTAAAATTCGATTAATTGAGCAGCCCTAGAGCACAGGTTAAAAAGGAAAGACATATTCAGCTAAAAGGTATAGAGGAGGATCTTTTTCTTCCGGGTGGATAATCTGAACCATTGGTTTGCATAACTGTCAATCATTTTGGTGAACCAGTCAAGCAAGGCCATTGTTGTACGTGATCGTTGCTGGATGTCCTCTCTCAACTCAGTTCTTTCCTGACATTCAGAAACATCCTCCACCTTACCTTTAATGTAGACGTGTTTTCATCATCGTTTCGGCTTTAACTCACAAAATAAGAGCAGCAAAAACTTTCAATCCCAACTTTTGTTTGGGCTCATACGGACAAACGTCGGTGATGAGCCAATGAAAGGTGAAACTGTAGAATCTTACTGTTATAGGTGAGGTGTGTTTTGCTGAAACACACAAGCAGGTGCTTCTCTATTTCATCTGCTTCCATGAACTTGGAGCAAACAGGACAATGGAACCCTGGGAAATAAAAACAACACATAAATCTGTTAGCTCACCTGCACCACTCAGCCCCTGATCTGCTTACATCCTGGCACTAGACGTCATAACTGGGTCAAACGCTACTAGACGTTGAGATAAACACACTTTCTGTGAGGTCTCCCTCAAAAAGGACAAAGAAATGCGTCATGTTGTCGCAGCGTGTTTGTCTGAGCCCAGCGTGGGGCCCTCGCAGTCGCATCATGACCGAAGGTCGCTGATGAGGCCATCGGTGATTAGACTTCCTCATTACCTTCATCAGTAATTAAAAACAGGAGGAGGTTGGAGTTTTATGGATCCCTGTTATGAAACAGCGATGACCATGAAAAGGCCTAATCTCCCTGCTGTTGTGTCGGCTCGTCTCCTGCTCTGTTTTGGTCTGATCTGGAACCCAGAGCGCTCATAAACAGCCAGACTTGCAGATTCAGGAAGTTGAAGTGAGCTGTGTGTGTGTGTGTGTGTGTGTGTGTGTGTGTGTGTGTGTGTGTGTGTGTGTGTGTGTGTGTGTGTGTGTGTGTGTGTGTGTGTGTGTGTGTGTGTGTGTGTGTGTGTGTGTGTGTGTGTGTGTGTGTGTGTCAGGCAATGTGTAACCAGCAGGAAGCTCTTATCTGTTGACCTACATAGGGCACTCTTCCCTCTCAGGCAGGCCAAAATATAAAAAAAAGAAAACAAGCCCACTTTGCAAAACAGGCAAGTCAGAAGAAGGAAGACAAAGGGCAGAGCGGAGCCACCTGTGGATAGAATAAATGGGCAGGCAGCCAAACAAAGGGCTGTCATCACACAGACACCAAACATGCCAGGTTTCACGTGTCAGATGGAAAATTACTCCAAGTGTCCAAGCATCTGGGGAAGTGTTGTGGAGCCATAAAGAGAGAAATAGGAGACAACAACACCAAACATAGCGTTGACTCTCTCTGCTGAAGCAGGAAGGAACACGCTGTAGAGCTGGAGATTAAAGAATAACTTTAAATGACGTAACAGCCGCGCGCAGAGCTGATAAAACTATCAGAACATGTTGAAACTGGTCTGAAAGGAGGGGGGGTTGGTGGTCTGGGGCTTCAGGATCTTACCTCCCAGCAGGCGGGGGGACAGGTGAGCAGGTAGTGACCCGATGAGTAACCTGTGCGCGTCAGGGCCCAGCTGGCCCTCATCACCGTCTCCATCATCCAGGCTCTGACTGTGCGACCCTGACCTTGCACCGGCCGGGATACTCAGCCCGGGGTTGGCTGGTCCTTCACCCATGTAGCGGATCCGGGGCCCGTCGGGTCCGTTTGTGTACCTAAACCCTGCGATCCTTTCAGCTGCACCGGAGCTCCCAGAAACGGGGAGGTCGGAGCTGGAGTAAGCCCGAGTTCTGCCGTCAAGCGCCGGGCTGCTCTGTTTCGAGCCCATGCCGCAGGATCCGCGAGGTTTTCAGAGCTTCGAAGTTTGTTTTTGTTTGGTTTCAGCCACGACTCATGATCACAGCGAGTCCTGAAGAGATGACACCAACAAGGGCAGTCACGCCGTCGAGGTGATCCAACATCAGAGTGTGACTGCGTGCTCCCTTTGTGCGTAAAGTGCGTTCCCGCAGACGACCCGAGAGGATTTCACTTGTTCTGGTTTTGTTTTGGTTGCTCTTTCTTAGCCCTTCCCCTTTTCAAACAATGGAAAAGCAAAGCGGAGGGCACCTCAGCAGTCCCGCGCCTTTAGTTCCTCCGCTCCTCACCAGCACACAAAACAAGAGTTTGGCTCGAAGGCTCCTCGGCAGCGATTGTGTTTTTGGGCTTAACTGCGGCCATCAGAACATAAAAATAAAAGCAGGGGTTGCCCTCCTCCTCTCCCTCCTCCCCTGGTGGGGCAGAGCAGTGAAACTTACCAAAGTGCACCGCGTAAACACACACGGACCTTTCAAAATAAAAGCTTTATTACAATGATTGGAGAAAAAAATCTTACCAAAAAATATTCTTACATTTTTCTGTTTGAAATCGTCACAGCCATTAATATTCTCACTGATGAAAAACTATCCTTTAAACATATTTGGGAAGTTTAATTCACTGGGGAAAATATGTAGAAATTAAAAGCATCAATTAAAATCTTTAATAAATAAAACAAAGTAACAAAATAAAAGTAATTTCACTTCAAATTATGGAAAACACTATTCCACAACCAAAACTGTTAAACCAGTGAAGTTTGAAGGAAAATGAGCAGAAAGTAGAGTAAAACTGAATAATTAGTTTAATCTTTTTTTTACTTTTGATGCTCTCACAGATAAATACATTTACTGACATTATCATTAAACATGTGCTTCAACTTTTATAATCATTCTCCATTCGTTTTGCTCTTTAACTGAAACAGAAATGCTAATAATAATAATAATAATAATAATAATAATAATAATAATAATAATAACAATAACTGGATATTTTCAGGTAGTTTAAGCTTCTTTTATCAGAAGCTATGAGAGATGAGATTGTGTACTATTTCTTCTCCACGCTGTCTTATTAGTTTTATATAAGCAAATCGTATTTCCTGAAAGGACAAAGTGTGCCAGACTGTTGAAAATGGTCAGCTAACAATGAGAGGAAGTCAATAAATATTGTGTTCTGGCACCTTGCAGCAAATCGACTGAAGATCGCACTGGTTCCAGTCCAGGATCAACAAATGCCCAATCACAAGAGTCCCTTCAGTTTGAAGGTAGGACCCTGCCCTGATTGATTCATGGTGTCCATGGAGACGAGGGTGTCTAATGGATGGATGGATGGATGGATGGTGGGTGGATAGATAGATGGATGGATGGATGATGGATGAATGGATAGATGGATGGATGATGGATGGGTGGAAAGATGGATGGATGATGGATAGATGGTAGGTGGATAGATAGATGGATGGATGGATGATGGATGAATGGATAGATACATAGATGGATGGATGGATGATGGATGGATGGATGGATAGATGGATGGATAATGATACTGACAAAGCTAACATTAAACTTTTGGAGGAACTGTAGCTGTATGACGTCACTGCCGCATGATTGGATAATTGTAATCTTGGTCCAGTGCTTAAAAATATCCTTAGGGGCCCAAAGGTTATTTCATTTTATTTATTTATTTTTTGCATGAATGCTTTTACTTTGAAAGCCAAAACCGTGCATCCGACGTGCAGCTCTCTCGCGTCCCCACCTTGACGCAGCTTTTTATTTATTTTTTTTTAATAAACTTTATACCTTGACGCAGCTCAGACAGGACGAGTCAGGTGGCGTGACGTCAACCTTAGCAACACCGCGGGCTGGCAGTCCAGGCGAGAGAGAGCTCTGTGATTGTGTTGCAGGAACCCCAGACAGGCAGACAATCTCTGTTCATACGGTTTATTGACCAAAGTCACACACCAGAGGACAAACAGAAGGTACACTGCATGAGAAACATTCAAACAAGAGAGAGAAACGTTTACAAGCCAGAGGAGCTCAGCTGAAGACCTGTCAGTCCTGGACCTGGTGGTGGACAGGGACATGGTGGCGTCAGAAGGAAGCTACAAATAAACTATTCCTCTGCCTAGGGGTGTGGGTGGGCCCTCCATGAGGAGGTACCTCCAGGTGAGACAGCAGAACCAAAATAACTCAAGTCTGGAAATCAGAGTTTCTCCTCAGATCGTGCTGAGGGACGACCAGGAAGACTACAGGAAGTTAAAGTGGGAGCTGGGCTGGATGAGGCAGTGGTTAAAAGATACCAAAAGTGATGAAAACATCTTAATGAAGCGGCTGTTTGAGATGCAGTGCCTAGCAAACAGTAAGAAACACACCTCGCAAATAACCATGCTACTGTTTTCCACAAAAGGACTGTTAGCACAGGGGGGGGGGGCTTTTTATTCACGGCTGCAGGATGCCTAGTTCGGTTAGTTAGATCAGGATTTACACTCATCAGTCTGTCACAAGTATGCACGTCTTCCTCAGAGTGGAAAAGCTGCACCTGTCCTCTCGCTACTTCATGCTTCAGCCTCAAACTGTCACATGTCTGCGTTTCCTCTGGTTTTCGAGCATCATTTGTGTCAGAGAGGCAGCAGTCTGCCACATTCATCTCCACGAGGGTGGAGGTGTGTATTGCCGTAACGTCTGAAAGTATTTCTTCATTACAAAGCTGTGCTGAACTTTAACTTGCCAAATGGTGAATGATTAAGATGCTGCCTTGTACATGGTTACTCGTGTGACCCCAGAGTGTGTGTAGGTGTGTGTGTGTGTGTGTGTTGATGTTTTTTGTTGTAGGATCAACAAAGGGCACTCTTTAGGAAGCAAAGCAACTGAGACATTCAAGAACAAGGAAGTGAATTTTCACCAATTTAACTGTGTGTGTGTGTGTGTGTGTGTGTGTGTGTGTGTGTGTGTGTGTGTGTGTGTGTGTGTGTGTGTGTGTGTGTGTGTGTGTGTGTTAATGTGTCGAGGCCCAAAGCTGTGGAGCAGCCCAGCCCAGGATAGAGCTCCCTCATGGGGACGCATCACTGCTGGCTGACCCCCATCTGCTGGTGGTCTGGTCCAGGTTCCCCCTCCATGTCGGCATGGTAGTGCTCAAAACTGTCGTCGTCTATGTCTGGAAGGCCTAACAGCTAAAAAAGAAAAAGAAGTGAAATTAGCCTCGTTATACTTTTTTCTTCTAATGACTTGAATAAAATATATAAACATCACTGGTTAAGTCATTTATATTCTTAATAAAGGAAATCAAATCTTAATGGAAACTTTTACAACCAATTTTCTTTGACTAAGTATAAAAACAGAGGCTTCTCAGTCATTTAAACAATCAGGATCAGCAATATTTTGAGCGGTATTGAAATTATAATTGGAAATAGAATGCTGTATTGTGGCTCTTCAAAATAAGAGCATTTAAAGAGACAATGTGCAGTTTTACCATTGATTTCTGGTAAAATCTATCAAAATGTTAAAAAAAATGTCTAAAATACATGGCAGCGTGTCTGTAGCTGGGCAACACCATATTAGAAGCCATGTTTCCTTCTACAGGAGCCCATGAGGACAAAATGCATTTACTGATTTGTAACAAACGGTTACGAAACTTTAGTCGTTCTTAAATGTTGTTGTCTTCCACATTTACCTTTTCACTTCTTGCCAGTGATGAAAGAGAGTCTGATGTGTGTGTTTTTAGCTAAAGTTTGCACTCCCCAGGGCTTTTTGATCCTAATGAGCATCCCTTGGTAAGATCTTACCCAAACACAAAAATACTGCCTGCTTGCTGCGATTTAGGTATTTACTGCCCCCATCACCAGGAAAAATACACACTGTGTCACACCCTGTCCTGTCTCTCCATGTGGTTCAGCCTGTGTCCCTGTTGATTGCTCCCACCTGCCTCTTGTTTCCCAATCACCCAAGCTCCCAGCCCTCCTGTATTTAAACCCCTCCAGTCCTTTGTCTCTTGTTGCTTCATTGTTTCCATGTCCTGCGTGCGTGAATCATTAAAACCCTTTCAGTTGTCCAGTTTGTCTGCCTGCCTGCTTTCTCCCCTGCATTTGGATCCTCACCTCCGCTCCACTCACCAGCGCACCCTGACAGAATGAAGCAACCCCCAGTTGAAGGACCCAGCGGGGAGATTCTCCCGAGGGAGTACCTGCTCCAGTGGCTCGCTCCAAGCCACCACCCGGCTTCTCCAGCTCCAGCTCCGCCTCGCCGCGGACGACGGCGTCAGCGTGCACCCTCGGCCTTCCTCTCCACCCTCCCAGCGCCTGATGAGAGACCGGATCGAGAGACGCGTTCGGATCACTCCAGTTACGTGGGCACCCGTCTGGCTGTGTGCTCCCCCGGCGTTGGTCCACGGCGTGGGGAGAGACGCCGGGCTGCCCCGCAGTCCTGTGTACCGGGATGGAGTTGTGTGCCCGCCGCTGCCCCTGCTCTGCGCAGCAGTTTGGACAAGCCCCCGGCCAGACCAGCAGTTCCGGCTCCGACCCAATCGGCGCCTCCGTCATCTGCTGAGGGAGGAGCGTTGGCCGCAGCCCAGCTGACTGAGCTCGTCAGTCTCCAGGCGGAGCTTGGCCGGTTCCGCCAGCTCATCAGCTTCCAGGAATCCCGCCTGGACGCTCTATCCTCCTCATCTCAGGACCAGACGAGCGAGCCCGGTGTTCACCCAGCGGAGCTCGCCGATCTGCGGGCTAAGCTGGCCCAGCTCCATTGGACCCTCAGCCTTAAGGAGCGTCAGCTGGACGGTCTGTCCTCCCTGCTTTCACAGTTCTCAGCACCACCTGCTCTGTCGCAGCCAGCTCCAGCGGTGGTCCCGGTGGACGCTCCGCATCCAGTTCCAGCGGTGGTCCCGGAGGTCGCACCGCATCTGGTCCAGCCTGGCCAGGCAGCTCCTCCTGCAGCAGCTCTGCCTCCAGCCCAGAAGCTGATGATACCGGTCCGGAAGCAGGCGGTCCCGGACCAGAAGCAGAAGGTTCGGGCCCAGAAGCAGATGGTTCCGGTTCGGGCCCAGAAGCAGATGGTTCCGGTTCCGGCCCAGAAGCAGACGGTTCTGACCCCGAAGCAGATGGTTCTGGTTCCGGACCAAAAGTCGACGCCTCCGGACCCGAAGCCGACGCCCCCGGACCTGAAGTCGATGGAAGTCGAAGCCCGTTCCGGTCCTGAAGTCGACACTCGTTCCTGTCCTGAAATCGACGCCCGTTCCTGTCCTGAAGTCGACGCCCGTGTCTGTCCAGAAGTCGACGCCCGTTCCTGTCCAGAAGTCGACGCCCGTTCCTGTCCAGAAGTCGACGCCCGTTCCTGTCCAGAAGTCGACGCCCCTGATGACGTCTCCTCTGAAGTCGGCTCGTCCGATGACGTCGCCGCCTCCCAAGTCTGCTCGTCCGACGACGTCGTCGCCTCCCAAGTCTGCTCGTCCGACGACGTCGCCTCCCAAGTCTGCTCGTCCGACGACGTCGCCTCCCAAGTCTGCTCGTCCGACGACGTCGCCTCCCAAGTCTGCTCGTCCGACGACGTCGCCTCCCAAGTCTGCTCGTCTGACGACGTCGCCTCCCAAGTCTGCTCGTCTGACGACGTCGCCTCCCAAGTCGGCTCGTCTGAAGTCGTCTGGTCTGATGACGTCGCCTCTGAAGTCGCCGCCTCTGAAGTCGGCTCGTCTGACGACGTCGCCTCTGAAGTCTGCTCGTCCGACGACGTCGCCTCCCAAGTCTGCTCGTCCGACGACGTCGCCTCCCAAGTCTGCTCGTCCGACGACGTCGCCTCCCAAGTCTGCTCGTCCGACGACGTCGCCTCCCAAGTCTGCTCGTCCGACGACGTCGCCTCCCAAGTCTGCTCGTCTGACGACGTCGCCTCCCAAGTCTGCTCGTCTGAAGTCGGCTCGTCTGAAGTCGGCTCGTCTGACGACGTCGCCTCTGAAGTCGTCTCGTCTGACGACGTCGCCTCTGAAGTCGCCGCCTCTGAAGTCGGCTCGTCTGACGACGTCGCCTCTGAAGTCGGCTCGTCTGAAGTCGGCTCGTCTGACGACGTCGCCTCTGAAGTCGCCGCCTCTGAAGTCGGCTCGTCTGACGACGTCGCCTCTGAAGTCGCCGCCTCTGAAGTCGGCTCGTCTGACGACGTCGCCTCTGAAGTCGCCGCCTCTGAAGTCGGCTCGTCCGATGACATCGCCTCTGCAGTCGGCTCGTCCGATAACGTCACCTCCTCCTCCGAAGTCGGCTCGTCTGAAGTTGCCTCGTCTGAGGATGCTCTTTCCAGTCCAGAGGTCGACGCTCTCTCCTGTCCAGAGGTCGACGCTCTCTCCTGTCCAGAGGTCGACGCTCTCTCCTGTCCAGAGGTCGACGCTCTCTCCTGTCCAGAGGTCGGCGCTCTCTCCTGTCCAGAGGTCGGCGCTCCCTCTAGTCCGACGTCTCCACCGTCTCCAGTGCCAACGGTGGTTCTGGAGGTCATACCGTATCCGGTCCAGCTCTTCTACGAGTCTCCGGTCCAGCCCGTCCAAGGGGCTTTGTCCCCGGCCCAGCCTGCAGAGACTATGTCCCCGGCCCAGCCTGCAGAGACTCTGTCCCCGCCCCAGTCTACAGAGCTCCTCTGCCATAGACGCCGGCCCCCAGGAGCCCGTCGTCGCCTCCTCCGCTGCCCCAGGCGCAGGCCCCCAAGAGCCCGTCGTCGCCTCCTCCTCTGCCCCAGGCGCAGGCCCCCAAGAGCCCGTCGTCGTTATTGCCTCCTCTGCCCTGGGTGCAGGCCCCCGGACTCTGCTGGTCCCTGCCTCCTGATCATCGGGCCCTCTGTCCCTCTCGGCCCTCCATCCGGGTCCCCCTCCTCCGGCCCTGTTCTGTGTTCCTGTGGGCTTCTGGAAGCCGCCCTTTGAGGGGGGGGGGGGGGGTACTGTCACACCCTGTCCTGTCTCTCCATGTGGTTCAGCCTGTGTCCCTGTTGATTGCTCCCACCTGCCTCTTGTTTCCCAATCACCCAAGCTCCCAGCCCTCCTGTATTTAAACCCCTCCAGTCCTTTGTCTCTTGTTGCTTCATTGTTTCCATGTCCTGCGTGCGTGAATCATTAAAACCCTTTCAGTTGTCCAGTTTGTCTGCCTGCCTGCTTTCTCCCCTGCATTTGGATCCTCACCTCCGCTCCACTCACCAGCGCACCCTGACACACTGCCACTCTGACACCAGAGTGCACACACAGAAAGTCTGAAGAAATTTTTCACATTCTGTCCCTTAGTTGTACCACCCTTTTTTCATCAACACATCTTGTCTTTAGAGCACAAGGGTTTTAGAAATGACATTTTCTGATTATGCAAATCCAGAGTTCATATTAAAGGAGGCACTGCTTCATGTCAGCAGATGGGTATAAATTACAGGACAAACATTACTTTTGTTATACTACAATGAGAATAAATTATCATAAAACACTTAATGCCAGATTTATTTAGGATTAAAATCTAATAAATGTTTGAAGCATTCAGACATTAGTTTAAAGATGAAGTGAGAATTTTTTTTTCTGAAGTTTATTTTGCCACATTACTTGAAATGCTCTTCTATTCCAAATGTTTTGTCAAAACTGTGAATTTTAACCACCCCGTAAATTTACTAATCCAGTAAAAACCTCATCCAGTCATTGTGACCATCCCCTTCCTAATGAATGGATCATAATCCATCCAACAAACTGCCCTCTGACCGTCTCTCCTCTTTTTGGAATTGTGTATTGTTGGTTCGAAGCAGTTAAATAGTTGTTGGCTCAACATTAGCCTCTAGCCTATTCACCACAGGTGTGGACTTGAGTCATATGACTTGGACTCAAGTCAAACTTGAGTCATTATTTTAATAACTTCTGACTTGACTTGATAAAATCTATAAAGACTTACGACTTGACACGGACTTGAATGCCAATGACTTGCAACTTGAATGGACTTGCATATGTTAACTTGATGATGACTTAACCATATTTGATATTTTAGATGGTAAATGGTAAATGGCCTGTATTTGATATAGCGCCTTCAAGGCGCTTTACAACACAATCAGTCATTCACCCATTCACACACACATACACACACTGGTGGGGATGAGCTACAATGTAGCCACAGCTGCCCTGGGGTGCACTGACAGAGGCGAGGCTGCCGAGTACTGGCGCCACCGGTCCCTCCGACCACCA